TCATCAGTTTCACCTCTGCAGCATCTCTCTCATCAGTTTCACCTCTGCAGCATCTCTCATCAATTTCACCTCTACAGTATGTCTCCTAGATTTCACCTGTGCACCCTCTCTTGAATACACCCCTTTCTCTCCTCTGACACTGCCCCCACTCTGGTGCAGGTCCTCATCACCTCATACCCGAATCATTATAATAGCTGCTGGTGGGTGTGTCTGCCTCAGGTCTCCCTACTCCAGTCATCCTTCATTCAGCCACTAAAGTGATTTTCCTAAAATGTGAATCTGATCATGTTACTCCCTTACTCAGTAAACTCCAGTGGCTCCGTGTCACCTCCAGGATCCATCTCCAGTATAAAATATTCTATATGACTCTATTCATATCCCACCTAGCCCCCTCTTATCTTTCCAGTCTTCTCACACCTTCTTCCTCACCATGTACTCTCTGATCCAGTGACTCTGGCCTCCTCTGGGCTTTTCTACAAACAAGACCCTCTGTCTCTTCCTCTGGGCATTCTCTCTGGCTATCCCCCTTAAAATACTCTTCCTCCTCCACTCTTCCTAATGACCTCCCTCATTTCCTTTAAATTCAAACTAAAACCTCTTCTTTTACTGGAAGGTTTCCTCAACCTCTCAATTCTAATGCTGTCCTTTTGTTAATTATTTCCCATTTATTCTGTATATATAAGTTGCTTTGTATATATCTGTTAACATGTTGTCTTCCCCATTTGATTGTAAACTCCTTGAGAGCAGGAGACTGCCTTTTGCCTCTTTTTGTATCCCCTGTGCTTAGCACAGTGCCTGGCACATAGTAGGTGGTTAATAAATGTTTATTGATTGATTGATAACCAGACCAGTTGGACCAATTCATAATTCCACCAATAGCATATTTGCTACTATCATCACACAGCTTAACATTGATTATTTCTGGCTTAAACCATCTTTGCTAATTTTATGAGTCAAAGTTGTTTTAATTTATATTTCTCTTAAGAATTATTTGGAGCATTTTTATATGGTTGTTGAGAATTTGCTTCTCTTTTAATTTAAAATTACCAGATCCCTTGACCACTAATCTGTTGGTTTGTGGTGGAGCGGCATGACTCTTATCATAGATTTGTGTCAGTTTCCCATATATCTTGGATATCAGACTTCTGTCAGAGATATTTGATGCAAAGATTTTTTCCCACTTGACACTTCTCTTCATATTCTAATTATATTGATCTTTATTAATGCAAAAGCTCCTAATTTTTATTTAATTGAAATTGGCCACATTATCTATTACAATTGACATCTAGTTTTATCAGTTGTGAGACAAATATCCAGAAATCCATATATATATGTATGTATATGTATATATATATATATATGAGCTGCATTCATTTTTTTATTGATGAATAATGTACTTTAATTATTACTACCCAGTTCAAAAAGCACTTTAATCAACTATATTCACATAATATTATGCAATTGTAAGTCTTATGCCAGTTCTAGATCAGTGGTGGTCAGAGCTGTGAGAGAATACTGGTATATGTTGAGCTGTTTTCTAGAACCATGATGGGTATAGGCAGGATTTTGTTACTGAGTTTGTTTCAATCATGTCCTACTCTTCATGGACCCATTTGGAGTTTTCTTGGCAGAGATACTGGAGTGGTTTGCCATTTCTTTTCTTTTTTTTTTTTTAGGCTATACATATACATTCCTATTAAATGTATTTTCACGCTAGTGATGTTATAAGTAAGAATTAGAACCAATAGGAAGAACCACCAGAAAAAGGAAACAAAACACAACAGAAGAAAAAAAAAAATAGCAAATAGTGTGCTTCGATCTTCATTCAAACTCCATAGTTCTTTCTTTGGATGTGGATAGCACTTTCCCTCATGAGGCCTTTGGAGATGTCTTAGATCCTTGTATTGCTGGGAAGGGTTAAGTCTATCAATATTAGTCATCACACAACGCAGCTGTTATTGTGCACAACCTTCTCCTGGTTCTGCTCACTTTACTTAGCATCAGACCATACAAGTCTTTCCAGGTTTTTCTGAAGTCTGCCTGCTCATCATTTCTTATAGCACAATAGTATTCCATTACATTCATATACCACAACTTGTTCAGCCTTTCCCCAATTGATGGGCATCCTTTCAATTTCCAATTCTTTGCCATGACAAAAAGAGCTGCTGTAAATATTTTTGTACATGTGGGTCCTTTTGGTTTGCCATTTCTTTCTCCAGCTCCTTTTATAGATGAGGGAACTGAGGCAAACAGGGTCAAGTGATTTACCCAGGGTCTCATAAGTAGAAAGTGTCTGAGTTTGGATTTGAACTCAGGTCTTCCTGACTCCAAGGCTGGTGCTCTGTGTACTGTGGCACCGCCTAGCAGCCCTATTTAGTCAGGATGCACAAAACAATTCTAACTGCAGGCTTATGGCTTCACTGTCAGCAGTTTGCTGAGAGGACGTACTTCCCCAGCATCCTCAGGGTTCCCAAATGCTGCCCAGATTTGGGCCGCAGACAGAGAAATTTCAGGGATTTAGGCCCTGATGGCCTTCTGATTCATATGTACTCATCAGTAGGGTAAAAATATTTTTTTGCTAAAGTCTCTGGCTGGCTGTATGCATGGTGGTGAGATGATCTTTGAGAGCACCTTCTGTTCTAAGTATGTATGTTCTTTTTTTAAAAATTTTTATTAATTTATTTTGATTTATCAACCGTCACTTCCATAAGCTTTTGAGTTTAAAATTCTTCTCCCCCTCCCTACCTCCCTCTCCCCAAGATGACGTTCAACCTGATATAGGCCATACATATACGTTCCTATTAAAAGTATGTATGTCCTAAGGGCCCTTTTAGTTGTGTGAGCCCCAGAAAACTTCACGGCGTCTTCCCTTGCTTAGAGAAGTGGAAGTCCATCCTGGACTCCATCCAAAGGATTTTAGTTCCCAGGCTAACAAAAGCATCTCGTTAGATGAGGTGGACTGACCTGTAAGACCCTAAGTGGGAACCCTATTGAGAGCCCCCTCCACAGGTGGTGTGTTTCATACTGCCCTAGGCACTATGATGGGAAGCACATGATGTGGTCCTTACCCTCAGGGAGGCAACAGACAAGGGAGACGAGACGAGGCAGAGAGATGAGAAATAGAGGACAGTGCAGTCCTGTTCAGTGAACCAGAGTCCTTCGGGGGAGGCTTTGTGGCAGAAATAAATCACCTGAGCTGAACTCAGGAAGAGGGGTAGGATTGGGCCTGAATTCTCTGCGTGGTCATTTGATTAGCCTGCCCAATCTTGCATAACTGCGCTCGACGCACAACCCTCGCGTTGCGCTGTTATTGCCACAGAAAGGGGACGTGAATGATTTTTGTCTCCTCCAGCTCAAGGAGTGGGTGAACAAACTGATGGTCACCCTCCGGTCCCCTTCCTTACCCCTTCTGGAGCTCCAGGAGATCATGACTAGCGTCTCTGGCCGGATCCCGCCCTCCGTGGAGAAAGCTGTCCGCAAAGTCATGGCCCAGTACGCGAGCAACATCACCTCCGTGCTTTGCCAGTTCCCCAGCCAGCAGGTAAAGAGGGGTGGGGGAGGCATGTCTCTCAGATGACCGCGCAACACCTCCTGAAAACCTTATGGATTCCTATGTCTGGCCTCTGATAGAAAATGTGTCAATACAGGGCCGAGCTTACAGAGATTACAACCCTTTCTGGTCTTAATTAGGTGGTTAACGTACCACTTGGTAACCGTCTTCGTGGGCAGGGGCAGCCTGGATCTCCCAGGCTCTTGCTGGGCCAGTCCTTGGAGCCCCTCCCACTGGGCAGGCCCTGCTCGGGCTCGGGGGCTTCCAGCGGAGCTTTCCAGAGCCTGGGGAGGATCTCTGTAAGATTTACCAAGTGCCTTCCTCACCACCACCCTGGGACCTCGACACTTCAACTTTGCATTGTCCAGAGGCTTGCGTATCTATCTGGTATAGCTCCAGATGAACCCTGAATTGTCTCCATTCAAGGTTTTTGCCAAACTTTCAGAAGCAACTGGTAAAATAGCCCTGATCGCTTTAAAAACCTAGGCATGAAAAAGACTCCGCAGAAACCTTGAGTGTTCCCTGAATCTTCTTGGTCAAGTATTAAAAATACTCTCACTTTAAAAATTAAAATTAAGTTTTAATCAATTTAATTAATAAACCAATAATTTAATAATCAACTAAAATTTATTAATAATAAAATCTTAACAAAATAAATAATTATTAAATAAAATAATTTTTAAAAATAAAGGGAACCTTGCCAAAAGGATACAGAAAAACCTGAAGCCATCCTTAGTGCTCATTGGCTGAACAAATGTTTAATACCAGTTGTGCCCCCGGGCCCAAGCTGAACGCTTTATTTATCATTTGTACTTAGTGTGGCTGTGGAGTGGTGGAGGGAGCCCCGGACCAGGCACCGGAAGACCTTGGGTCAAGTCTCTGCTTGGCCACTCACTTGGTGCGTGACTCGGCCATGCTCCTGGCCAGCTCTGGGCCTCCTTACTCTTCCTTCATCCGGTGCGGTTGGGCGAGGTCATTTCCAAAGGCGCTTTATGTAGCGCTCTCTTCTTCCAGCCTAGTTTGGACTCTCCTTCCAGTCACTGTCTGGAAGTGATCTTTTTCTTAAAAAAATGTTTTTTTCAATGAACAAAAATTTATTTTGTCTCACTACCTCCCTTACCCCACTGGAGGAAAAAAAGAGGAAAGCAAAACCCTCGTAACAAATATGCACAGTCCAGCAAAACAAATTCCCACAATGTCCATGTCCGAAAATACATATCTCATTCTTCCATCACCCTCTGTCGGGAGGAGGGTTAGTGGGCTTTGTCATCATTCCTCTGGGCTTATGGAGCAGAGGCTTAAGGCTTCGCAGTTGTTTTTCTTTGCAATGGCAGTGTCATTAGAGGAGTTTTTTTCTGGTTCTGCTCAGTCCGCTTCCCATTGGTTCCTACAGGTTTCCCCATTCATTATTTTTCTTACAGCAAAATAGCATTCTGTTGCCTAATTTGTTCAGCCGCTCCCCAGTTGATGGGCACCCCCTTAGTTTCCATTTCTTTCCAACCTCAAGAGTGGCCATCGATATTTTTGCACATATGGGTCCTTTTTCTCTTTCTTTCGTCTCTTTGGGGCATAGACCTAGCAGCGCTCTGGCCGAGTCAGGGGCTGTTCAAAACTCAGTGACTGGGGGGCCTTTCCTGAGCAGTCTCCCAGCAGAGCATTCTGGTGCTTGTTTGCCCAGAGCCCAACAACATCGGTCATGTTCCTCTTGCACCAACTTAGCCGATGTGGTGGATGTGAGGCGGAGCCCCAGAGCTGCTTTAGTCTGCATTTTTTCTAATTATTAGAGATTTGGAGCATTTATTCATACGGATATTAATAGCTTAGATTTCTTCCTTAGAAAATAGTGAGCTCATATCCTTTGATCATTTATCAATCGGAGAATGGCTCTTATTCTTGTAGAATTGAATCAATTCCATGGATATGTATATCGTATTATGTATGTATATTGTATATATATTGTAGTGTATACATGTATGTATGTGTACATATGTTTATGTGAATTATGTATGTGTATATATGTGTTGTAGTTTATGTGTATATTGTATATGTGTATATCTGCATGTGTATATATGTGTGCATTGTATATGTATATTGCATATGCATGTGTTGTGTGTAGGTTTATTGTATGTGTATGCATATTGTACGTATGTGTGCATTGTATGTGTATACTGTATGTTTGTGCATGTATGTGCATTGTGCTGTACTGTATATTTATATATATGTTTATGTGTATGTGCATTGTATATGTATATTATATGCATATGTGGATAGGTTTATGTGTATATTTGTGTGTATATGTATATTGTGTATATGCATATATGAATGTCTATTATACACGTAATTATATACGTGCTTGTGTTTATGTACACGAAATAATAAATATACATGCATATGTCACACAATACAATGCATATATACACACATGTACATGCGTGCATGCATATGTACACGATCCATATCTTGTTGCAAAGATGTTTTTCCTACTTAACTGCTCTTCTAATTTTAGATCTTTTGGATTTATTTATGCAAAAACTTCTTAATTTCATGTAATCAAAATTGTCTGTTTTATTTCCTCTGTTCCTTATATGACTATGATCTCTTCCCCCTCTCCATAGATCAGAAAGGTAATTTCTTCCACACTCTTCAGAGTGAATTGCTAGTGATGCCTCCCTTTGTGTCTAAGTCATATACCTATTGGGAACTTATCTTGGTATCTGGTGAGAGACATGGGTCTATCTCCCTAGTATTTTCTGGCAGTGATAAGCCATAAAAACATATCTACGCCTGCACTGAAGTCCTGCATTGAGACTTCAGCATGGTGCCAAGGGAACCCTGGCTCTTGGAGAACGTGCTGGTGACTCGAGCTCTGGCAGGCCCTGCCAAACCAGACAGACTTAGAGTATCACCGACAGGGTGATGAGGGATAACCAGCCCACAGCGTGGAGAGGGTCGGGATAACCTTGATGAAGTCATAGAGCTGGGGAGGTGTCGCTATCTGCATCGGCAGAGGGAGTACCTCACAGAGAAGTACACAGGTTCTTAATGGTTTGACCATTGGTTGACCAATTGACCAATGGTTGGACCTACCCAACAGATTCCGCCTCTTTGCCTTCCTGAGAAGTGGCTATTATCATTGCCATCCTACCTGCCCATCTTTCTCTCTTTTGCATGACTGAAAGGGGCCTGTTATTTTTCTCACAAACTCCCATATTTTGTTTAGGAAATGGCTGTGAAGGCCACCATCTGAGAAGAGTACACGTCTTGTAGCTTGCTTCATTTGTTCATTCTCATTTTTTCATAGACCCCAGCCCCTCCTTCTGTAGGTCTGTCTGTAGGAGCTGCTGTTGCCTGGACAGTGAACCTCTGTGCAGTTAATTGGGATGGTCCTTGGACCTCAGCACGCACCCAGATCCATGCAGCAGACCTCAGACCCTGATGAGCGCACAGGGAGAAAGCGGCTCTGAGAGCCAGGGTTGGGTGTGGGGATCACTCAGCAAGGTGGAGGGGGGAGATTTATTCCTTAGAGAGAATCATCTGCTCTTCTGTTCTCCTCTATTCCCAGAAAGCTCGGTCTCCTCGAACACCTGAAATTCAGGATTAAAGAGTACTCCTTGCCTCTTCAGAAGGAATCCAGAATTTGGTTAAAAATTGGTTTTAGGGGGCAACTAGGTGGCACAGTGGATAGAGCTCTGACCTTGGAGTCAGGAGGACCTGAGTTCAAATGTGGCCTCAGACACTACACTTACTAGCTGTGTGACCCTGGGCAAGTCACTTAACCCCGATTGCCTTACCCCCCCCAAAAAAATTGGTTTTAGGTCCCTTGGTCATGAGTAGTTAGATGGGCTCTTTTTTCCCATTTAGATTGCCAACATCCTGGACAGCCATGCTGCGACGCTCCAGCGGAAGGCGGACCGTGAAGTTTTCTTCATGAACACCCAGAGCATTGTGCAACTAGTCCAAAGGTGACCCGAGACCCTTTGGGCAAGGGAATCTGGAAAGCACATGATGCGGACCAAGCCCTGCTGGCGTGCTCTTTCATTCACTTTTATAAGATTTTGAGTTCTAAATTCTTTCCCCTTCCCTCTATGCCCCGCTCCCCAAGACAGCATGCAATCTGATATAGGTTTTACATGTACAATCACATTAAGCCTATGTCCACATTAATCATGTTGTGAAAGAAGAATCAGAACAAAAGGGAAAAACCACAAGATAGAAAAAAGCCAAAAGAAGTGAAAATAGTCTGCCTCGATCTGCATTCAAACTCCAGAGTTCTTTTTCTGGATGTGGAGAGCGTTCTCCATCATGAGGCCTTTGGAGATGTCTTAGATTCTTGCATTGCTGAGAAGGGCTAAGTCTATGAACGTTCGTTATGGCTCAACATGGTAGTTACTGTGCACAGCGTTCTCCTGGTTCTGCTCCCAGGCAGTTTTCTCAGACTCTTAAGTGCATGGTGAATTATCAGTGGACTTTGGTAAAGGGAATTTCTACCCTGGTGATGAAAGCACAGGTGTGTCTCTGCCTCGTGGTGATGATGCCAGGTTTTCTGGTTGCCGTGTGCATTTTATGTGTTCTCTCTCCTTTGAACCTCATCACAACCCTGTTAGCTAGGGAGCAAGAGCATTGTTATGATTTAGACTTGACAGAAAAGGAAGCTGAGGCTCATGGAGTGAAGGCGTCTTGACCGCCCAAGACCCACAGCCTGTCCATGCGTCCACACCGTCTGATCCAACCCGTGGTTTTTCTTCTCTGCCAAGCTGCCCCCGTTCCCCTCCCCTCAAAAGACTGTTTTTAGCTTGGCTGTATCACAGGGCAGATTTAGAACCCCAAATATCAGTGGCCTGGAGCGCTGTAGCAGTCCTGGCAGGCCCTTTGTCATCTGGGTGTGGCTAAACTTGTACCCTCAGTTATATAGCTGGTGGCACAGTGGGTCAGGTGCTTGCTTGCGTTCTAATGGAGGAGACAGCATGCTGCTGAGGAGATACAAAGACAGTTTGGTGTTTGCAAATGAGGGTTGGACGAGGTTCCCTGTGTGGACCCTTGTGGCTGTGACCTTCCCACGGGAGGAGGCGCCACGCAGAGCATTCTTCTGGCTCAGACCACCAGGCTGGTAATGATGCATTCCTTTCTTCCACAGGTACCGGAGTGGAACCCGTGGCTACATGAAGACTGTGGTGCTCGACTTATTAAGGAAATATCTGCAAGTGGAGCATCACTTCCAACAAGGCAAGGCTGGAGCGAGAGCGCCCCTCTGTCTGCCCGGAGGCCGCTAGCTGGACACGAGGGAAACATGAGTCTAACCACATGGCTTCGTTCTTCCCCCAGCCCACTATGACAAGTGCGTGATCAACCTCCGGGAACAGTTCAAGCCGGACATGTCGCCCGTGCTCAACTGCATCTTCTCTCATGCGCAAGTGGCCAAGAAGAATCAGCTGGTGACCATGTTAATCGTAAGTCCCGCCAAGGTGGATGGAGGGACCCTGCGGGGCTCCTTTTCTGCTGCATGGCTGAGGGGCAGGAGCCCCTGGGTTTGAATGCTGGCTTTGCTGTTGACCACCCATCTGACCTATGGAGGGTCAGCCTCCCCGGGCCTCAGTCTCTTCCTCTGTCAAGTGGGGATAGAAATCGTTGACCCAATTATCTAGGGAGAGCATACACAGTGGACAGTTAGGAAGACCTGGATTTAGATCCCGCCCCTGACACTTAATAGCTGTGACCCTGAGCTTTCTGATTAAAGCTGCGAAGAGGGAGGGAGAGATAATGAGGTCAGTTTTGGACACTGGGAGCCATCTACAAGACATCCATTCCAAGATGTCCAATAGGCAGTGAGTGAAGGGATGTGATTTTCTACTCTGGAGCCCCATCATATAATGGACAGCCTCAGATTGGCATCTGGATTTGTGAGGCTAACCTTCTGGCCTCAGCTCTTAGAACCAATTCTGCCTGTTTTTAAAAAGACTTTTCAACCCAAACCATCAAAGAAGACTTGAGTGGGTAGGGGTGGGGGTGGGGTGGAGAAGAGCCTAGCTGGGAGCTTCAAGCATTTGAAGAGCTAGGTGGCCATGGGCAGCTAGGTGGCGCTATAGTGCAAAGAGCGCTGGGCTTGGAATCAGGATGACTTATCTTCGTGAGTTCATATTTGGCCTCAGATACTTACTAGCTGGGTAACCCTGGGCAAGTCGCATCACCCCGTTTGCCTCGGTTTCCTCATCTGGAAAATGAGCTGGAGAAGGAAATGGAAAACTGCTCCAGTATCTCTACCAAGAAAACCCCAGATGGGTCATGAACTGACACAGGAACATGACTGAAAAGTGACTGAACAACACATATAGAAACGGACTTGATCTGGAAAGTGCGTGGAAGCTGTAAAGAGGCCGATGTAGATCATGAAAAATGGCTTAGTAGAGCTGTCCCAAAGTGGCGCATGCTTGCTGTCTTTCCCTGGAGTTTTCAAACAGGCTGGACAACCCCTTGTCAGGCCTGCTCTAGAGGGGATGCCTGTTCTAGATTAGGTGCCGTCCAAGGTCCCTTCCAACGCTCAGACTTTGTGATTCCGTGAAATATCACTCAAAACCTTATTGGTTCCACCTCTGATGTTCTCCAAAAACTTGGCCTTATGGATCATTTGAGAAGAAGCACATGACCCCTCCAGAAGATTTGCTGCCTCTAGAGAACCAGAGGGAGTGTGGTTAGAGCCATGGTGGGACTCTTTGGGAAAGATGGCTTGGTAGAACTGGTCATTGGCCATGTGGGCACCATTTTGCTATGGCAGACTGTAAGCTTCATGAAGGCAAGAACTTTCCTACATTTGTCTTTGTGTCTCTCACCCCTAGAATATTGTAGGTGGTTGATGAGTGAATTGGAAGGGCCGTTGGATTGGACGTTGGGAGCCCTGGGTTCTAGTCCTAACTCTCTCATTCTGTGACCTTAGGCAAGTTCTTTCCCCAATCTGAACACTCAAGAATATTGGATTGTAGATGACCTGTGAAGTGTCTCACATTCTGAATTAAGATTTTTTTGCTGCTCATTATGGCACCATCAAGTTTGTGGAGAGGTGGGAGAGGGGCACGTGAAGATGAAGAGTGTATTGTAATAGCACCATCTTTGAAGAATGTCTAGCCACCAGGGTCCAGCCTCTTAACTTGGGTCTGTGACCTTGTTTTCAATATAACTACCTTCCTTTGTCATCATTTGAATTTTATTTTATGCATTTAAAAATACTTTCTTCAGGCATCCCTAGGCTTCATCATACTTCAAAAGGACTTGTTGCCCCAAACGTTTAAGAACTCTTGCACCCAAGGTAATCCACTTAAGATTTAACCACTTGCTGTGTGTGTGTGTGTGTGTGTGTGTGTGTGTGTGTGTGTTTTCTCCCAAAGGATGAGTTGTGTGGCCCAGATCCATCACTGACCGATGAGCTCCTTTCCATCCTTGGTGAACTCACCCAGCTGAGCAAAAGTGAACATTGCAAAGTAGCCTTAAGAGCCAGACAGGTAAGTGGTCCTGCTTTATGCCATCCTGGGTCCTAAGTTACAAGAGAGTACTAATTCTTGTGCATGCATGATTTCATGTGGGATGCTAAAGGGTTTGCTCCCACACATGGCGCTCTAATTCTTTGGGAGCTCATCAGCCTGGCAAAGACATTTACCTTGGAGATAAGTGGCCAGTGTGCTCCTCATGGGCACTCCTGCTGGTCCAGGTTCTCATGGCCTTCCTCCCTTTCAGGTATTGATCGCCTCCCACCTCCCCTCTTATGAACTCAGACACAACCAAGTAGAGTCCATTTTCCTGTCTGCCATTGACATGTATGGCCACCAGGTCTGCCCAGAAAACCTCAAGGTAAGCTCTGTTTCCCAAAAGTCTCTGGCTCCTGCCTCCCTTTCAAAATGGCGCTTTGTTTTGAAGCACTGATAGACTCGGGGTAGATGGGTGGTGGAATCCATCTACGCATTGGCCTCTTCCTGTAGAGATGTTGCCCAGGCCCCACTTTTCCATTTTTGATGGCAGAATTGGAAGTAGAAGGGACCCCCTCCTCTTTCTGCTCCCACCATGTTTGGTGGGAGCTTCTGGGGTGGTCTGACAGTGTCTGTGGTGACATCCGAGGGGACACTGAGGCTCCAAGGATAAGTCACCCAGCTACTAGGTGTCAAGAGTGGGATTCAAACCCAGGACTCCCCAGCACTCTTTCTACTAAACTACTTTTTTCTCACACTATTGATAATCACTACATTCCTTGGACATTTGTTTTGCGGCCCCCATGCTATTGGCACCACTATTGCCTATATTTCATTCATCCATTAAGCCTTTGCTGTATACTGTGAGCATTGAGCTGAGTGCCAAAGGTCAGATGAGTCCGTGCCACCAACTTTGTGGGGTTTATGTTCCAGCCCTGGGATAAGAGACGGGCCAAGGGGACCTGAATGCCCAGAAGCACCAAATGAGCCAGTCCTTCCCCCCATGCCCAGCTGCATGTACTTGCTCTGTCTCTGTTAACTTAGGTCTTTAAAAAGTAGATGCCCTCCTGCTTCTTCTAGCCACACGTTTTGCTTCTCGTTTTCTGTGATGAGTTATGGAGGTTTTCTGACTTGTTTCTCCTTTTCCTCTAGAAACTGATCCTTTCAGAAACCACCATATTCGATGTCCTGCCCAATTTCTTCTACCACACGAACCAGTTAGTTTGCATGGCGTCCCTGGAGGTGAGTGTTGTGCCAGCTGCATGCATGTGTCGTCCAGCCCCAGAGGTGAGCCGGAGCAGGACTTAGAGTCTAAGCCTTAATAAGAAGACTTGTTCTGCGAAGTTTGGATTCAGTCTAAGGGCCACACTTGATCTTGTGATCTCAAGACCACAGATTTCCCACCCCTGGACAGAGTCTGATCTCCCTGTCTTACAGATGGGATAATTAGAAGAGAAGTCTGAATTTGGTTGAAGAGACCCCTGAGGCAAGAATCCTGGGGGTGGATTCTGGGGTCCATCCAGGCCTGGAATCCAGGCTCTACCTGCCACAGGCGTTCTTGCCACTGGGGTACATCTCCACCCAAATCCGGACCCTCTCCTGGTTATTCTCCCTTCCCAAAGGGCATCAGCTCCACAGTTTTGAAAGCAGGATGGGGCTTTAGGGAGCTTCTCCCCACTTCCCTTCCATTTCTGCAGGAAGATGCTGAAGGCCAAAGTGGGAAAGTGACTTGCCCAAGGTCACAGCCAATAAGTGGCAAAGCTGGGAACAGATCCCAGCTCTGCTGCCCCCCATCAGGCCAGTGACTTAGGGAAGACCTTGGCTTCCCTAGAAGTATCAGAAGAGGATGACTATGGTTAATGTCAGTGTGACTTGTGGGGGAAATGGGAGGGGTCCCATCAATGTTTGTGTTCCTTTACACCCTGTAGCTTGGCCAAGGTCCTTCTCATTTCCTGACCCTCTGCCACTTGTACGCCGTGCTTTCCCAGGCCCAGGGACCACATACGCCATTTAGTATTCGGGGAGGGCCTGGAGCAGTAGGGAGAAGGAAAAGGGTTTGGGAGGAGAGTGAACTTTGTCTGTGGCAGGAGAAGTGGGTATCCCCCAGGCAGGAAGAAGCCCCCCAAACCAGGCCAGGCTCTAGAACCCAAAGCCAAGAGAATCCATCAGAACAGGACGCTAAGGTTCAGGGTTTGCTGGGAGCCGACCATTTGTCTCACTCCATCTGCTTCCCCAAAGCTCAGGACTTTTTACTGGTTACCCCAGGCTTGGCATGCTTTTTCTGTCACTCAAACATGTCACCCTAAGCCTTCCTTCTGGAGCTCTGCTAGGCCCTGGGAGGCTTCAGCCACATGTCCCATGAGCTGTCTTAGAAATGTGCTCTGTACTAGCCGTGTGACTCTGGGCAAGTCACGTAACCCCATTGCCTAGCCAAAAAAAAAAAAAGAAAAAAGGGGCAGCTGGGTTGCTCAGTGGATAGAGCACCGGCCCTGAAGTCAGGAGGACCTGAGTTCAAATCCAGCCTCAGACCAAACACTTGACACTTACTAGCTGTGTGACCCTGGGTAAGTCACTTAGCCCTAGTTGCCTAAAAAGAAAAAAAAAGAAAAAGGAATGTGCTCTGACATGAATGAATGAACATTTATTAAGTGCTTACTGTATGCCAAGCTCTGTGCTAAGTGCTGGGGATACAAGTAGAAAAACGAGACTGTTCCTGCCCTCATGGAGGGCGAATCCTCCCCAAATGGGGAAGACCACCACATCTCAGCCCCACACCCCTCGGGAAACCTCCTCAGCTCATATGGCTGATCATATAATCACCCCTGATTAGCCTAATTGGTTTAATGTGGGATGGTCTGAGAGGCCACCGCTTCCTGTGCTCCTCCCTGCCTCAGGTATACGTGCGCAGAGGCTACATCGCCTACGAGCTGAACAGCCTGCAGCACCGGCAGCTTCCTGATGGCACCTGTATCGTGGAGTTCCAGTTCATGCTGCCCTCATCTCATCCAAACAGGTACAGACCAGCCCTGCTGCCCCTGCACCCTCCCTGTGACCCGGGCACCGGCCGGGGAGGAGGTCCACCTCCTAGCCTCCCTGCCTCCCCAACCAGAGCACGCAGGGCTTCCTTCTGCACGTGTGGCCGTTGGGAAGGGGCGCAGAGCCCTTTGCTGTCATCTTGATGGCGTGTCATGGTTGGTCTGTGTCCTTGTTCCTCGCAGGGTTGTTTTCTGAAACCGTCCCTCCAGGGTCTTTGTAGGGAGACGTGTGATGAGGAACAGGTGGAGTCTCCTTTCCCTGTGACTTTTTGTGAGGCCGTCTTAGCTCACTGTCTCCTTTTTCCCCAATCTTATTTCAGAGCACACACCCCTGTCCTGGTCAGGTAGAGTGTGATTCTTTGAACCTAAAGTCTTCCTGTCTCTTAGGGATTTGGCCGCCTTCTTTCTCTTCTCTCCTTCCCTTGGTTCCTGGCTATCTGATGGGCTCTGAGGTCGGCTTAGGGCTGGGATGGTCTCTATGGGACTCTTGTTTTCCATTTGGACTCAGGGTTTGGTGGGCTCATGGTTTCTTGAAACTGAGCAAGGATTCTTCTAATCACCTGGGGTTTTTAAAAAAAAAAAGGATTTCCCTTTTCTAAGAAGGAAGATGCTTGTTTTAATGATGATATTAAGACTCTCCGGGCTGGAGAAGGGAGAGGGCTTCACATTTCACAGGTGAGGAAAACAGCTTAGAATGGTTAGGTGATTTGCTAGAATCTTCAGGAACTGCAAATTAACTGCAAATATTTGTAGCTGGAAATTCCTGTGCAGAGTAGGGGCTCAACAAATGCCTGATGAGTGGTGCACGGGGTGGTCTCAGCGCAGTGGGGGCTCCTGAGCCCCGGGTTTGACTCATCTGTCTTAGAAGGGAACCATGACACAGGATATGGGAGAGGGGATTACAACTAGAGATCCTTGAGTTCAACCCTTTCCTTTTACAGAAGATGAAACTGAGGCTTAGGGAAGTAAAGTGATGTGCCCAAGGTCACATGGACATCCCAGAGTCTTATCGCTAGAAGGAGCCTCCAGAGGCCATCTGAACAGGAGGGAGTAAAGAGTAGTGGCAGAATTCACACCCAAGTCCTTTTGACTCCAAATCCAGTGCTTTTCTCACCACACCAGGTGTCGCTAGCTCTCCTTCTTGGGGGAAAAAAGCACAGGCTTCAGTGACATATGCCTCACTATGTTAGCAGAATGAGGGGGTGGAGGGCCTCTGGTGTGGCAGAGACCACAGAATAACCCACAAGGGCTTCTGGGAACTCCAACCTTACCTATGCTTATGCAGGGAGTGCCTGGAACAGACCTCATGTATGCGGTCCTAGAACTGCCCTAGCCTTGTGGGGTCAGCTTAGTTGTTTTTGGTTTGGAAGCCCTTATGGAACCTTCTGCTGGCATGATAGAATGCTCTGCCATCCGCTGAATGTCAGAAGGGTAAATCCCAAAACTTGTTAGCTCTAGTAACGCAGCTTGGGACCATGGAAGGATACCCCAGCTCTGTAGGTTATTGTCTGTATGACCTTGGGCAAGTCCCTACCCCACTCCATCCCAGGCCTCAGTTTTCTCCTCTGCAAAAGGAGTGGGTTGGATTAGATGTTCCCTTCCCCCCAGGGAAGACCATGAAATGGCTAATGGGGCCCATACATTTGGACTTTCAGACCCCGTCCATGGTGCCTGTAGGCGCCCATTACTTCCTTAAGTCTCAGAACTACTCCCATGTGTGCTTTCTGGTTTGTTTGTACCAAGCCTGGAAGACAGACAGGGTGAGCATTTTCATCTTTTTTCTCATGGGAGCCTCATAGTTATCATGTGAGGTGGGTGTTGTGGATATTACCATCCCATTTTACAGGTGAGGAAGCTAAGGCCTAGAACGGTCAGGTGATTTGCTAGTAACTGTCACCAGCAGGATTCTAATCTGGGTGTCCTGACTCCAAATCCATGTCACCCTTCTCCTACACCTCCTGAAAGTTCAGAGGTGCTTTGTTGCCCAATGGAAGCTGCTGAGTTTGTCTGAAAGCTCAGAGTAGTAGCAGACTGACTCCCTCTGTCCAAAGGGGAAATAAATTAGCTCATAGTTTCCTGGCCACTGGAGAAATTGGCCCACCTTGACAAATCTCTTCTCCCAGCTAGGTGGTGCTGTGGCCTCAGACAACCAGGTGTGTGACTGAGCAAGTCACTTCACCTCTGTCTGCCCCAGCTCCCTCATCTGTAAAATGGGGATAATAATGGCACTTACCTCCCAGGATTGTGAGAATCAAATGAGATCATATTTGCGGCTGTCCGCACACCATGGTGGGTGTAGCCAGGGGGGTGTTGAGAGAAGGATTCTCTGAATGGATTGGCCCCTTGGTGGCAGAGGTCCTTGGCTTTGGAGGCCGCCCTTGGCCTGCTCAGGGCCTCTGGGGCCTTGCATGACCCACTGCCTCTTGGTCCTTTCTGCAGAATGGCCCTTCCCGTCAGCATCACCAACCCGGACCTGCTGCGGCACAGCACCGAGCTGTTCATGGATAGCGGCTTCTCCCCTCTCTGCCAGAGGATGGGGGCCATGGTCGCCTTTCACAGATTTGAGGATTTTGTCAGGTACTGAGTGTAGCATCTTCCCATGGAACCTTGGGCCTGGGAAAATGGCCTTAGAGCTGAGGAAACGGACCCCCAGCAGGGGGCCGGGACTTGCCCAAGTGTGCGTGTGTGTGGTGTGTGCGTAGCATGTGTGTGTACACACACACACACAAAGCCAGGAACTATACCTCATGCCCTGTGCCCCACGCAGCAGCTTGTCCCCCCCCAGGTCAGGCTGGGAAGTCCCTGACCCTTCCCCCCTGGCTGCTTTGAACCCCACTAGAAACTTTGATGAAATTATTTCCTGCTTTGCAAACCTGGCCAAGGAGAGCCCCCTCTTCAGCGAGGCTCGGTCCATGCTGTATTCCGAGGAAGACTGCAAGGTGAGTGAGAGGCCGGGTGATGATTCTGCCAGGAGGGCCCTGCCCAGGCATGTGGGGGCAGCCGACCTTCCCTCTCTGTCTGTTCCTGTGTCTGTCTGTCTCTCCTTCTCTATCTCCTCTGTCTCTATCTCTTTCTGTCTTTGTCACTCTGTCTCTCTGTGACTGTCTGTCTGTCTGTCTCTCATTCTGCCTCTTTCTGTCTCTGTTCTCTCTCTCTCTCCCCCCGCTGTCTCTCTCTTGCTCTCTGTCTCTCCTCTCTCGAACTCTGTGACTTTCTGTCCCTATATCTTGGTGTCTGTCTGTCTTTCCCTTTCTCCGTCTTTTTCTGTATCTCTCTCTGTCTCTGTCTCTCTCTCCTCAATATCTCCCTCTTGCTCTCTATGCCTCTCCTCCCTCTGTCTCTGTCTCTGTCTCTCTCTTTCTGTCTCTATTCTCTCCGACTTTGTGTCTCTCTGTCTGTCTTTCTGTCTCTCTCTCTCATTCTGTGTCTCTCCTCTTTCCGACTCTGTATCTCTTTCTGTCTGTCTTTCTCTGTGTCTTTCCTGTCTCCAGCTCTGTGTCTCTCTGTCTCTATCTCTTTCTGTCTCTGTCTCTCTCTCACTCCCTCTCATCTGGACTTCCAGTCTGTCAAGGAGGAGCCCATCCACATTCTGAACATTGCCATCCAGTATGCTGACTGCCTGGAGGATGAGGAGCTGGTGCCCATCTTCCGGACATTTGTGCAGTCCAAGGTACTGGCTGTGTCTGCCTGGGCCCTGTGGGGCTCCCGGGCTCCTGGGGGATGGGGGATGGGGGATGGGGGTGGGCTGGGGTGGCCGGGCTCCTCCATTGGTTTAACATTGTAGGGGCAGGGGAAGGGCTCAAGGCAAAGTGCCATGCTAATGCTGGTCAGGGAGCATGATCATGCTGACGCAGGTCTGCCCAGAGTTTCCCAGGCACCCCTGTGAGCTAACTCCTGGAGGCACCTTCCTCCCTATTACAGATGAGAGCTCAGGTCGCCTGCTCCTGGACCCCCAGATGGGAGGCTTTGGGGCTGGGGCACTCCGGGGGGTGTGTCTTCTTGTGCGCCCACATCTGTAGCACTTTGGGCTTCACAGAGAGCTTTTCTTTCAGTGCCCCTGGGGGGCAGGGAGGCCAGGGCTCTGGCCCATTTCTGGCGTCCATAGGTAAGATGAGTCTGTGTGCATACAGAAGGCACTGTCTACTTTTATTCCCCCAGAGCACCTTTATGGCGCTCCTCCTGTGTCTGGGGCGTAGTTTATGAGGTTGGGGAGAAGTGAAGAAGGATATGACATAACCACAGATGAGGATTTTGGGGTGGCTTGGAGCAGTGCGGTGCTGGTTAGACGAGGAGTCAGGACAGCTGGCTTCTGATCCACATCAGACAGGGGCTTGTGGGTGACCGTGGGCAGGTCACTTATTAGAACCTCTGCGGGGTGGACTTAGGAATCAGACGGGCCCCGCCTCTCTCCCAAGGTTGTTTGGGGTAGACATGAGCCGTGACTATCATGAAATCAGTCCATTAGAGCATCATGAACCAGGTGCTGGGAGAGATGGTGGGGACCGCTCCTGGCAGGGAGCCGGGAGGACCGAGGACAGAGCCTGGAAGGAGGCCTCGGTTTCATCTGGCAGGGCTGGGGAGCGCCTCTCAGAGATGGGGAGAGGAGAGGAGGGGGCTTGTTTGGGGAGGGGTGAAGAGGCACACATGGCTGAGAGATAGGGCTGGGAAGGTCAGTGGGACCCCAGCTCTGAATAGCTCCTCCCCTCCCCGGGGCTCTTGACAGATAACTGCCTCCTGTTGCAGTGACTTGTGTGGACGTCTTCTACAAGGTCGTACGATGACCTCCTGGCAGTCAAGGACGAAGCCTTGCCCCATTCCACACTTCTTCCTTTGTCCCCTCTCCCCTCCACCCCCCAGACCTAGCCCAGGGCCCTGTGCCTACCTGGTAACAAGCATGGGAGGGAGGTCATACTCTGTCCAGCAGAGAGTTTCCAGGAATCTCAGAGCTTGCCCTGTGGTATGTACCAGCCTGTGAGTGACAGAGAAGCAAAGATGATTAGGCCATGGTTCCTGCCTTCATGGTGCTTAGAGTGTAGCTGGACAAAACAAAAATACAAAGTGATACAAAAATAGTGGGTAAAGCATAACGGTATGAGGGCCAGTTGAAGGACCTGGGCATGTTTAACGTGGAGCGGGGGAGCAGTATGTGAAGGCCTGTCGTGGAGAGGTGGCAGGCTCCCCGTCCTGGGAGCTCTCCCAGCAGAGGGAGGGTGGCCCCTTCTTGGGGATACGTCCAGAGGATTCTTGTTCAGATCTGGGCCGGGCCAGATGGCCAGCAGGCCTCCTCACCCTCTGAAACTCTAGCACTGCCCACTGGTCTGCCCTCGAAGGGATAGATGGGGGGCCTTTTATGCTGGACCGAGCGAGGGAGGCCAGTGGAGAGTGTTGCTAAGTGCCCCAGCCCAACACACTCCCTGCAGCCCCCTCCTCTCTGTTTGGCCCTTGGCCAGCCCGTGCTGGGCTCTCTACCCCATTGATAGCAGGATCCCTCAGCCTCTCTGTTCCCAAACGGCCTCGTGGTGGTGGTGTCACGTACAGACAATGACACTCATTTGTTGCCTTCTTTGAATCTAGAAACACGTCCTTGTGGAATACGGCCTCCGGAGAATCACCTTTCTCATTGCACGAGAGGTGAGTGGGGGTGTCTCATCAGCCTTTCTAGACTCATTTCAGTGGCTTGGAAACTCAGTCCCACCCATTGAGTTAGCAAGGGATCAGTTTTGGGGGAAAGTAGGCTGGGACCTGCGTACATTTGGGCAACAGCGCTGCTGGCATGATTTATAGTAAGCAGACTCTGGGTTCCTTTCACTGGATTGATTTTTCTTTCCTTTTTTTGCAGAGAGAATTTCCTAAGTTTTTTACATTCCGAGCAAGAGATGAGGTATGACCTGGCAGGCTGTCTGTCCTGTATGTAGAATGTCGCACTCACATGGGTCCTCTCTAGCCTATCCTCCATCCGCATGGGGCTAATGTTCACAGAAGCATCCAAAATCTTATTAGGGTCACAGTAGAAAGGGTACATAGAGGTCATCTACTCTAGCCCCCCAATTTTACCGATGAGCAAACTGAGACCCAGAAAGGGGAACGGACCTACCCAAGGACACACAGGTAGCATGTAGCACCGCTGGGGTTCAAACCCCGATCTCTTGACTCCTAATCCAAGGTGCTGTCCCTTCAGTGTGTCCAACACTTTCCCACCTCCTTGCCTTTGCCCAGGCTGTATCCTATTCCTTGAGAGCCCTTTCTTCCATCTCCACCACTGGAAATCTACCCTGTGGGGTTCACAACCTAGCTCATGTGAATGCTGCCTCCCGTAGGAAGCTTTTGCTGATTGTCCTTCCAGTCCTTGGGGTCAGAAATGAGCTACTCTGTCTCCCCTAACACTTGGTCCCTCATCTGCGCTGGAGTCCTGTGTATCAGAGTGTGTGTCCCTCCCGCCTTCCTGTCCCCCCACCTCATTTCTGCGCCCCAGGGACCCTACCCCTACGTCCCACCCCATTGGTCGGCCCTTTCAAGCGTCCGAACGAGCGCAGGTTTTGTGCTGATTTCTGCTCGTTTGTCTTCAGTTTGCCGAAGATAGAATTTACCGCCATTTGGAGCCCGCCCTGGCCTTCCAGCTGGAGCTGAATCGCATGCGGAACTTTGAGCTGAAGGCCGTGCCCTGCGCCAACCACAAGATGCACCTTTACCTGGGCGCCGCCCGAGTGAAGGAAGGCACCGAAGTGACCGATTACCGGTTCTTTATCCGCGCCATCATCAGGCACTCGGACCTCATCACCAAGGTACCGGCGGCTGGGGGCGAGGCCGCGGCTGATGCCGGAACCCCCTTCTCAGCGTGGGCCGGGACCGTGGAGTCCCAGAGAAGCAGCATGGGACTGAGGGTTGGGAAGACCTGGGTTCAAATCCTGCCTCGGACACACGTTAGCTCTGGGACATCTCTGAGCCTCACTTTTCCCATATGCAGAATGGGAATAATAACAGCTTCTGTCTCAAAGGGTTGTTGTTAGGGTCAAAAGAGATCTTTTATATCAAACGCTTTGCAAACTTTAAAGCTCTAGGTATGTGTAAGCTATTATTGTTATTAATCTCCTCGTTATTAATTATTGTTTTAGAAATCCTCTCCACATTAGTTGTTTAGACTTTGCTTTAGCGGTGCAGGTGTGGAAACTCCCGCCCAGAGACTGAGCTCCTCGTCCAATGTTGCATAGAGGGAGAAGAGTAATATAATATGATGTGATATAATATAATGTAATGTAATATAATATGATATGATATGGTATAACATAACATAATGGAATGTAACATAACGTAACGTAACATAATGTAACATAATGTAATATAACATAACGTAACATAACATAGTAACGTAACACGATATAACATAACATAACATGATATAACGTAACATAATATGTAATAATAATAACTGGCATTTCTATACCATTTTGAAGTTCGCGGAGTGCTCTCTTGGCAGGCTTTTGATGGAGCCTGAGCGAGGCGAGATCAGAAAGCGTGAAGGGATGTGCCTGTGTCTCTAGCTTGTCTATGTCTATGGTGGGATGGAAGCCCAGATTTCCCTGACTCCCAAGTCAAGCACGGGTCTATCCATTACTTCCACTGTCTTTCTAAGCAGGAGTCCTGGGAGGATTCCTGGACTTTTAAAAAAAAGGGGGGTGGGGCGCCAATTTGAGCCTTGTCATTTGCTATAGGATGGTTACTTCTGGACCTCTTGCTTTTACCCCAAAGCACCTTCCCTTAGAAGCTCAGCAGAAGCAGCCGATACAGCAGCAGTGTCCAATGCGTGCGACATTCCACACCCTGAATCCACCACCTCCCTCTTAGAAGGGCCGGGAGGTTTCCTCCTTAGTACCTGGATCAAGACTGCCTTGTTCTTGCGTCAGATCTGATAGCTGATCTGGCCATCTCTTGTCCTGCTTTGATGACAGGAGGCCTCCTTTGAGTACCTGCAGAACGAGGGGGAACGGCTGCTCTTGGAGGCCATGGATGAGCTGGAAGTGGCTTTCAACAACACCAGCGTCCGCACCGACTGCAACCACATCTTCCTTAACTTTGTCCCCACGGTCATCATGGACCCTTCCAAGGTTTGCTCCTTGTCTTCCGTCTCTGAGCTGGGGACGTTTGGGGAGGGGGCTTTGTAGGAACACGGCTTGACCATCACAATCAGAATGACTACCCACATTTCTAGATCCTTGCACCCTTCGGTAGCCTTGGGGGAGGGACAAGGAAAAGTTAATTGAGAGCTGTGAACAGGCAGCTAATGGGACTTACTCCTTATGGTGAGAAGAATGCTTGGCCTCCTCCAGACTACAGGGAGGTGTTTGGGGTCCAATGCACGTCTGCCATCTTGTCCACTAGACTGACATGGGGGACTCCCCGAATACCTCGGATTCCTTAGAAAAGAGTAATTGCATGTGATTGGAGACTGAAGTTTGGTGTGGGAATTAAGCCCCTTGTTAATCTAATTGGCACGAGTAGTGAAAGCATAAGTGAATGAATGAAAAATATTTAATAATTTTTGATATTAAGTATATATTACTGCCAAGCACTGTTCGAAGTACACATTGAGACAGCCCCTGCCCTCAGGAAGCTCACGCTGTCATTGGGGGAGGCAATCCCCACAGTTGAGTTTAGTTGTAGGGTAGACGGAAAGCTCATCTCTCCTAGATAGGCTAAGGGTCTGTCTGTGGGGCAGATGCCACGGCCTAGGGGTCCTTGGATTGCTCAGATGACGTTCGGGGCACAGCATAGGACCCAGGGGTCTTTCTGCTCATGGAAAAGAAAAGGATGGCTAGGGGAAGGCATGGTGGCAACTGGGTCTTGCCGCTTCCTGGCCATCCTGAATGGGCTCTGGGCAGGCCTAGTATGGGAATACTTTGGGAGCGTCTGTCACTGTTGCTTGGCTAGGTTCTGCCTGCCCGGGCTGGATAGATAGGGGATAGAGAAGCAGGTATAGAGGAGGTCTGTGATTTCACTGGTCTGCCCAGGTAAAGTGGAAAACATCCTGGACTGGCACTCAGCAGAGCCCCGGATTCTAATCTTCCCTCTGGTGCTCATCAGCTGTATGACCTAATTTCTCTGAGTCCCAGGCTCCTCCTCTGTAAAATCAGGATAGACATGAGTGTGGGGGCAGGGGGGAGGCCCAAGTGAGAGGCTGCTGCTGAGGGCCTTGTGAACCCATAGCTCTACCAAGGGTTGTCAGCCCTTGGCCAGTGCAGAGCCCAGACCAGCTCCATAACAGACAGAGGGAGGGATCGCCGCACCTCAGTTTAACCCCATGACAACCCCACAAGGCAGGGAGATGACGCAGGTATCCTTTGCTTGTGAGAACACTGTGCAGGCAGTTCAGGTGACTCACTCAGGCCGCAGGCTCCTTTTCTGTTGTATGATCTTCCAGTGATTGGATGGACTGATCATCAAGGTGTTCTAGGTGGGAGTGTCCCGCTTCTCCTAGTGTAGAGTGAAATCTCTGACTGCTTTTGTATCCTGTTCATTCCTGGAGTGTTAAGACACATTGGAGCTGAAACACATAATCATCCCCTCCTTCCCCAAGTTCCCTCATAGAATTAACTGCCTGTAGGGTCCCCAGGTCTAGAAGTACCTGATGGGATCCAGAGTCATGTGTGTGTCTGTCTGTCTGTCTCCTGTTATTGGCAGATCGAGGAATCTGTTCGATCCATGGTGATGAGATATGGGAGCCGGCTTTGGAAGCTCCGTGTCCTGCAGGCCGAGGTCAAGATCAACATCCGCATGACCCCGACTGGCACCGCGATCCCCATTCGCCTCTTCCTGACCAACGAGTCCGGCTACTACCTGGACATCAGCCTTTACAAAGAAGTGACAGACCTCAGGAGCGGAAATGTAAGCAACAGTCAATCTCGATGAAAATTCCTAGCAGGGCAGGCTTTTCTTCTAACCTTCCTTTACCTGGAGGGTTTGGGGATAGCGCACGGATAAACTGAGGCTTGAGCTTTTGGACCTTAGAAGTGACAGGGAGAGGGTTCGGCCCTGGGAACTGAGCCAATCCACATGTATTAAGCACCTGGTGTGTGCCGGGCACGGCTGGGTGCTGGTGATACAGAGACAAAACCAGAATCACCCTTGGCTGTGGGAGCTCACTAGATGTAGAGAAGTAGGAAGAGGGCATTAATAACCTTCAGCATTTATTAATTGCCTTCTGGATGCAGGGCTCGGTGCTGGGCCCAAAGGGAAAGGAGCTTCTTTTTCAGTATAGGGGAAAAGCCTGTTCACAGGTAGCTGGGGCCCAAGACAGTGACCAAGGCCAGGCCAGGGACGGTGCTGTAGGAATTATTCTTCGGCCGTGTTGGCCACAGAAGAGGTTATATATAGTGCAAGCAGGACAGACATGAAATGCCCATTGTAGAACTTTCTGTGAGGGGAACCACACTTTCTGGAGGAAAGCTGTGATTCTGTTTTCTGTTGCTGGAATAAGGAGGGAGAGGAGGGAGAGAAGGGAGCAGGGGCCGTCCCAGGTCCTCCCTGCAGCCCCTGTCCAATATCCTCGAGGGCCCCTCCTCTGAGGCAGCACCCTGGAGAGGGTGGAGGAAGACGCCCCTGGGTCCCTTCTGTCCCCCTTCCTTTCTAGATCATGTTTCACTCCTTTGGGAACAAACAAGGCGCCCAGCACGGGATGCTGATCAATACGCCCTATGTGACCAAAGACCTGCTCCAGGCCAAGAGGTTTCAGGCTCAGTCTCTGGGAACCACCTACATCTACGACTTCCCGGAGATGTTCAAACAGGCAAGTCCAGGCCCTTGGATGTCAGGCCGATCTAGGAGGCAGCCTTCTCGGCGACCCAAGCAGATCAGTGGGTCTGCACAGCCCAAAGGCTAAAAAACACTGTGTCCTTTATGGGGACTTAGGGTGGGGGGATCTCTTTACAGAATTCAAGAAGTCATTTTGTGGTGTCTTGAGTGTGTGTGTGTACACACGTGTATATATGTATATGTGTGTATACAATTATATTCCTGAACTCTTTCTGTATATATAAAACCATATATGTATTTGCCTTCCATTAAAATGTTGGCATTGTGTTCCATTGACTCTCATAAAGCATCTGTTATATGCCCTACTGTGCTCTAGGCAATGGGGGATATGGCAGCCAAATGTGAAATAGTCCCCATCTCAGGGAGCTTACCGTCAGGGCCCACCATAGGCAGATAATGAATTCCGTAAAGTGGTCCTATATATTTGAATTTGTACTATTTGAATTCATAATTTTGTAAAATATAACTATTGGTTCCAGTTCAGTGGAAATAGGCAGTGTGTTTAATCAGTCGGTCAGGTCAGCCACCGTGTGGGCAGGCGCTGTGCTGAGGTCTAGTGATACTAGTGCCCAGAATGAAACGGCTTTCCTCATGCATGAAGCCATGGTCACTGACCACACGCCTCACCCTTGCAGACTGCACCACAAATGCTCCTGCACCCGGAGGCACAGAGATCTGTACGAGAGCAAGCTTCTCCCAGCAGTGGGAAATAGGATTCTTGAGTGCGTCCTGCGCTGGGGTCGAGGGGCCAGGAAGGCCGTCCTTGGGTGGGACGGGTGGCCCAGCATTCGTCCTGATGATCTGCTTGTCATCCCCGCAGGCTCTCTACAAGCTGTGGGGCTCCTCAGAAGAGCACCCCAAGGACGTCTTGACTTGTACCGAGCTGGTACTGGACTCTCAGGGGCAGCTGGTGGAGATGAACAGGCTCCCTGGAGGGAACGAGGTAAATGGCGGCTGTCCCACGTGGCTGCAGGGCTATGCTTCGGCCTTGGCTCGTGGCCCCAGTCAGCCCGCTGCCTCTCTCTTCTCTCAGGTGGGCATGGTGGCTTTCAAGATGCTGCTCAAAACTCGAGAGTATCCCGATGGCCGGTACATCATCGTCATCGGCAATGACATCACTTTCCGGATCGGCTCCTTCGGCCAAGAGGAGGACCTCCTGTACCTGCGCGTGTCCCAGCTGGCCCGGGCGGAGGGCATCCCCAGGATCTACCTCTCTGCCAACAGTGGGGCCCGCATTGGCCTGGCCGAAGAGATCCGACACATGTTCCACGTGGCCTGGCTCGACCCCGCGGACCCCTGCAAGGTATGTTGGCGTGCCTGGTGGGGGAGGGACCCGGAAAAGCCGCGGGATGTGGGGCCGGGGCAAACAACACATATGTCCTGTCTATGTTGGACATAACCAAGACAGAGCAGTCCTCAGGATTGAGAGGGCTCACCGAAGGATTCCTATTGAAGGTGGGATTACATGGGATGAGGATCCCAGGTTGCATTGACAGTAGAACCCCAAGCCTGGCCCGGGTCACCATCGCTTTTAGGGGTGAGGCTCGACCTCCTCTTACTGGTCATCAAGTGAGGTGCCATGTTATTCCTGAGCATCCCAGAGGTCATTGGAACCCCTGCCCGTCTTCCCAAGAGTTTCCATTCTAGAACCGAAGAAGTGATGGGAGGATGGGTGGAGCCAAGGTCATCCACGGGGTAATTGTGATGCATTTGATTTGAAGGGCTTTAAATACCTTTACCTGACTCCTCAAGACTACACCAAGATCAGTTCCCTGAACTCGGTCCACTGCATGCACGTGGAGGAGGAAGGAGAATCCAGGTGAGCAGCTTTGATGGCGGCTGGCCTCTTCTCCACCAATGGGGTCAAGGTTGTCTCATCAGGTCTGCTAGTTAATAGACTCAAATATGATGTTCTGTAGGGCACTCCCACATGCTTTGTTTGACCCAGAATCTCTTGTTGTGATGGGATGGCAGATTTAAAGACCCATCCACAAGTATTTATTCAGGGCCTACTGTGTGCTGGGCACTGGGAATGCAGAACACAGAACGACAATGGTCCCTCCCTGCTGGCAGGAGGCTAATGTTCTAATATGGAAGACAATGAGGACCTGTCCAAATAAAGACTGTATAATTATTAAGTGAATAAGTGGAAATATAGATAGCATAATTTATGACAAGGTAGCTTGGAAGGAAAGGTGCTTGTAGCTGGTGGTAGGGGATGGAGGTAAGGGGCCGAAAGAAAGACCTTCGCATAGAAGGTGGTGATTGACTTGTCTCTTATAGGAAGAGAGGGCCCCTGACGCAAAAGTGAGGAGGGGGTACATTCCAGGCATCAGGGATGGTCGGTGCAAAGGTGTGGGGATGGGAGACACAGTGTCTGCTAAGCTCAGAGGGAGACAGAAAGAGAAGCCAGACATAATCCCCCGTCCTCGAGGACCTCACAGCCAAACTGTGCGAGAGAAGTCTCTGTAAACAACCGGGGATTCCAAATGAGACCTTGAGATTAACTTTCCTTGGCATCCCTCACCGTGGGGTGGAGAACGCTCGAGCTCCATGGGTCACCAAGAATCCTAGACTCAGAGACTGTCAGAATGTTGGAATAGGGAATGTCAGAGCAGGGAGGGACCCAAGAACACAGGATTGAAGACTGGAGTGGGGAGGCCGAACTCCAGGGTGTCGTTTCCTCAGACACTCTTATTCCACCGCAGAGGAACCTGAGCCACACAGGGGTGCCCAAGGTAGAGCGTAATTAGTAAAAGGCAGAGCCAAGACCAGACCCAGGTCTCCTTGCTCCAGTCCAGGGGGCTCCCTGCTGCCTCCCATCTCGATCCTGACCTGGGGTCTGACTCTGCTCTTTTCCGTTGGTTCTTTGCTTAATGTGGACCTGATTTGGGCAGGTACGTCATCACTGATATCATCGGGAAGGATGACGGGCTTGGAGTGGAGAACCTGCGGGGTTCTGGCACCATTGCTGGGGAGTCGTCTCTGGCTTATGAGGAAGTTATTACCATCAGCATGGTGAGTGTCCTTCTCTTGGGTTGCTGGCCGTCTCTGGGGCCTGAGTTGTCCTTCTGGCATCCTTACTGGTGTGGCTGCCTTCTCAGCTCACGGCCCCTTCAGGCCCTAGGGGATGGTCTTCATGAGTTGCTGTGGTCAAAGACTGTCCTTGCCCAGGGTCTAGCCTTCTGGGGCCTGGCTCTTTTGCATGTAGCCAGGATAGACATCTAGGCCAAATTCGGGCCTGGACCCAAAGCAGTTCTAGCTTGGGAGGACCTGCCTGGGCCTGGCCCCTCACTAGCTTCTAATTTGAGAACCCGGAGTTGCCATCAGGCTGTAGAATATCAGAGCCAGAGCTGACTCCCCAGGTTGTAGTAGGATGGGCGTGGTAATGGCCAGAACATCATCCTTGCTTCCATCGGTGCTGCTGAGGCAATGGTCAAGGTCACCCCCGAGCCAAATGGGAGCTTACAGGCCTGGCCTTCCGTTAGCCATCATGGATCTGGCCTACCACCTGGACAGACCTCCAGATATGGTGGTATCAGTGGGGGCAGCTAGGTGGTGCGATGGATAGACCAGTGGTCCTGGAGTCAGGAGGACCTGAGTTATTAGCTGTGTAACCACTGTTCTGTACAGAGGTAGCGACCATGGAGTTGACCTCACGGTCTCTGTGGCCTCCATGGAGTAAAAAAGAAAACTGTGGACCTTCATCCCCAACCAGAAGAGGAGTTCTGCCCCTGAGGAGCCCACATCCAGACCCTGTTTCCCTATACTAGGGATCTCATGCCCTCCCCGTACTCTTTGTTGCCTCAATCCGCCCGTGTGGGAGGGGGGAGAAATATAGAATCCTCTATTCTGTGCCATCAATAAATTCATCATATTCAGTGTAACATAAGCATTCTGAAACCTTACGTATCCCCCGAACCTTGATTCCTACATGAATCTTCATTTTCCACAGTCACAAGGGCCATGTAGAATGTAACCGCCTTTCTTGGAAAGCTGGAACCCCCAAGCAAGAGAGGCAACAGTTCCCATTTCTCTGACACAAAATACTTTCAGGTAGATATTCCATTTTACAGGTGAGGAAACTGAGGCTCTGTGGCGAGTGATTTGTCCTCTGTGGCATGGCTCTGCAGGGTTGGAGCTTGGGTCTCATGGCTCTGAGGCAGATGCCTTTTCCACCAGGCCACACTCCCCCTGGGTCTCACGTTAGGACAAGATTGTCCACAAGTGGCAGAGGTCAACAGAGCAAACACAAGCCTGTGGAAATGAGGACAGGAGAATCCAGTGTTGACTCTCTATCTCCCCCAGCCCCCCAGCCCCCCCACCCTCACATTGACCGACCAGAGGATAGTTGAATCTGCTAGGAGTGGGGCCTTTGAGAAGTGAAGGTGAGACCTCTGTGCCCCAAGTTGGCCTCAGAGGGGGCTGGAGGCTGTGGGAGTCTCACCTGGTCCTTCTCCCAAAGCTGCAGCAGAGATAAGCACCCACTATCTGGACTGAGAAACTTCATAGCATCCTAGACATGGTTATGTTTTCGTAGTCTTATCAATCAACCAGAGCCCTCCGAGAAAAACGCCCCCTGGTTTCTCAGAGGCCACCCATCTGAGCCCAAGCTCCGTGGTCCCTAGGGATGTGTGCGGCCTGAGATGCTGCCTTGCTGAGTGTGGAAGGGCTTGTCCCTGGGTGAGCCGCAGATGGGTTTTGGCCACAGCAACCTGGGTGATCACTTGCTGAGCCCCAGAGAGGCCGCTGCTCAGTCCCGACAGAATCCCAGGCCCTTGAATAATGACGGAGGCCAGCCGCGCTGGCCAGGCTGAATGTAGCAGGTCCTAGCTGCCTCTCTCCCCTCCCTGACCAATGACTCATCTCCTCCTGTAGGTGACCTGCCGGGCTATCGGGATCGGCGCCTACCTGGTGCGGTTGGGACAGCGAGTGATACAGGTTGATAATTCCCACATCATCCTGACAGGAGCGAGTGCATTGAATAAGGTAACCATGACTCACTGTCCTCTGGGACGCAGGCGTGGGGAGGCCAAGGCTATCGCTGCCATTGTCTGCCTCTTGCTTCCTGATTGTGGCGACTTGAGAGTTTACACTTCTCTAGGCCCTTTCCTCCTAAATTCTTCCTTCCACTGGTGCTGGTCTCTCCTCTTTCTGGTGGGTACATTCACCAAGATGATTCCATTTAGCATCTCTCCAGGAAATCCTGGGGGAGGTTTCATGAAGGTGAGTGGGTGGACTAGAGACCGTGACCCTCAGGGGCTAGTTGAAGGCAGTGAGGATGCTCAGGTCCGGTGGGGAGATGACCTGGGCCAGGGAAGACGGAAGAGCTTCCCCATAGAAGAGAGTGTGGACGTTACTTCCTTGGTCCTCAAGGGCAGTATGAGGTCCTCCTGAAAGTTGAGGCTGCTGCCAGAAGCAGGGAATTCCTAGTCCTTTCATGGCACACTGGACGACCTCTTGTCAGGGGTCTTCTGGAGGGCCTTCTGGTCAGGCTCAGATGAGACAACATGACCCCTGAGGTCTCCCCTGATTCTATGAAGGAATGACTGAATTGGAGACCAGGGATGATGACAGCATCCTAGATTTGGAGCTGAGAGGGGTCTTAGAGACCATGGAGGCCAACCCCCTCATTTTATAGATGGGGAAGTTGAGGCTGGGAGAGAGGTCAAGTGATTTGTCCAGAGTCACGCAGCTCAGCTAGGAATTGTCTGTGGCAAGAGCCGAACTCGGGTCCAGTGCCCTAACCACTGGGCCACCTACATTCTTGTTGGGTCCCACGTGTACACACCACTGACACGGATAAGCAGGAAGTGAATGTCCTGGGTAGTTGTGGGTGTTCTCTCATCCTGCTCGGGTTCCTCTCTGACCTGGGATGATTTCATTCACTATTCCGGCTCTCGGTCTTTAAGCCCACCCCTTGCCTGTACTGCGATTGTCCTGTATCTGAGCTGGATGAAGCCACGGCCCTGCTGGCGGCCCACCGTCTGGGCCAGCGCAATGATCCAGAAGCCAGTAGGATAAGCCCCGTATGTGCACATGGCCCTACTGGGTGCACAAGCTGTTCGGGGGGCTTTGCTGACTTTGGGTTTTGAACCAGGTCCTCGGTCGTGAAGTTTATACCTCAAATAACCAGTTGGGTGGCGTGCAGATCATGCATTTTAATGGCATTTCCCACATCACCGTTCCAGATGACTTTGAGGGAGTCTACACCATCCTGGAGTGGCTGTCGTATATGCCCAAGGTATGGTATCCGCAGATGGCAGATAGAGGCCCCAGTAACCTCTTTTCCTAGTGAGTGTGTCCACCTTGTACAAATTCCAATCTCTTTCCCTTCCCCACCCTGGGGATGAATTTATTGGGTGGAACTTTTTTTTTCTTTTTTTGGTGTTTTTTTTTTGTTTGTTTTTTGTTGTTTTTTTTTTTTGGCGAGGGTTAAGTGACTTGCCCAGGGTCACACAGCTAGTACTTGTCAAGTGTCTGAGGCTGGATTTGAACTCAGGTCCTCCCAACTCCAGGGCCGGTGCTCTATCCACTGTGCTACCTAGTTCCCCCTCTGGGGGGAACTTTTGAGGCCAGGTTATCATCATCATCATCATCATTGTCCCATCTCTCTTCTCCAACACCCCCTGACCCCTGCCATCATTGGCTGCCCTGTTCCTGGACATCATTAATACTTAAAATTGCCCAGTCCCATCTAGCCGACATTTACTATTTCAGAACAGGAGAACAAAGAAAGAAGGCTGTACGTAATAGAAATTTGCTGTTTCATCCGTGGTTCTGTTGTGTATATGGAAACGCTCATTTTAGTGGGTATTTGTTAAATTCAAAGTAAAAACAAAATAATAATAGCTAGCAGTTATATGGCCCTTGAAGGTTTGCAAAGCACTTTAAAAATATCATCTCGTTTGATCCTTTCAACAGCCCTGGGAGGTGAGGTACTATTGTTATTCTCATTTTACAGTTGGAGAAACTGAGGCAGGAAATGATTAAGGATTAAGTGACTTGCATAGAGTCCCACAGCTTGGAAGGATCTGAGGCTGGATTTGAACTCAGGTCTTCTTGATTACAGGTTCAGCTCTCTCACCAATGTGCCACAGAGCTGCCTATGTAAATTAAAAAAAAACAAAAAACAAACCTTCCAAAAGAATGCCATGGCATTGCTTTCTAAATAGTGATAGTCACTTCAACAAACCTTTACTAAGCATTTCATGTGATTTTCAAAGCAAAGTCTCTAGACAGGACCTTGAGATCCCATGGTAAGCATCTTCTGTAGAAGAGGGTCAGAGGTGAGCATTTCTTCTAAAGAATCCCTTCCTTTCACAGCTGACCCCCAGAACTGTCTGGGAACCACAGCACAAACTCATGTCCCCTTAGAGCTAGAGGAAGGGATCTCCCCTCAGATCTTAGATCCATCTAGTAAACCATTCTGCAGGCTTGAAAACTGAGGCCCAGTTAGAAAGGGACTTGACATTTCATTTCAAAAGGCACAGAACAAGTTGGTGATGGAGTTGGGACTAGAATTTTTTTTTTAAACCTCTTAATGACCAAGAATCAATTTTTTTCTCCTCCTAATCCTTTACCCCCTACCACTGGAAGAAGAAAAACAAAATCCCCATAACAAACATAGTCAAACAAAACAGATTCTTACATTGGCCCACGTCCAAAGATACATAAGGTCTTGACCTTCTCTAGTTTTGAATAGAGTTGTGGAGGAATAATGAGTTCTTTACCTCGGTTTTTCATACAGTTGTGCCTCAGAATGAGACTGGAGCATTTTCCTTCTTTTTTTTTCATAGGACAATCATAGCCCAGTGCCCATCATCACGCCCACCGACCCCATTGACCGAGAAATTGAGTTCCATCCTTCCAAAGCCCCCTACGACCCCCGATGGATGCTAGCAGGAAGGCCTCATCCAAGTAAGCCCAGACTGCCTCCTCCGTCTTCCAGGCTTAGGGTCCTTTTCTGATCTCTTTAGAAATCCCGAAGTCAAGAGCAGTCTTTTGAAGGTCATGCAAAGTATTGGTTGGGGGTGTCTGTATGCATTCTGAGCATCTTCAAAAGCTAGCCACTGAAGACAGTGCCCAAGTGTAGCAATAGCTGCTCCCAGTTCTTGAAGTTCCAATGGGATTTGGGTGAGGTGGAGTTCTGGGGCTAAACCAGCTGAGTGACCTTCTGGCCCCAGAAGGCAATGGATTACATGCCTAAAGTAGTTGTACATTATCTTTACCCAGTCTATTCCGTTGATTGGACTGCTGGACCATTATAAACCTGATAAACAAAATCTTCCAAGGAGTTATCCCAGATCTCTCCTTTTTCTCCCTCCTCCATCTCTGGAGAGTGCATCCTGGCACCCAGGAGGGGAGCAGGAAGCGGATGGAAATGGCGCTGAGGTCACGATTCTGGGGGCCACTTTTCTGTAAGACATGAGCGTGAAAGGCAATCTCAATACCATTCATGTTCCAAACATGAGACACAAGCCAGGACAGAGCATTCCCCTATGTTTAATTTAATTTAATCAATTAATTAATTTATATATTTTGCTTTTTGATGAGGCAATCAGGATTAAGTGACTGGCCTAGGGTCACACAGCTAGTAAGTGTCATGTGTCTGAGGCTGGATTTGAACTCAGGTCCTCCTGACTCCAAGGCCAGAGCTCTATCCACTGCACTACCTAGCTGCCCCCTCACTTATATTTTGAATACAAATATTACCCAATCAATATTTTAGATTCTACCTGGAGAAAGGAATCACCTGCTTGTGTTTTCAGTTTTCACTATGCATGTAGTAAATTGTCTGTAGTGTGAAGTTCACCAATTTGGTGGAAAGATTTCTGGACTGGGAGTTAAGACACCAGGGTTCCTTCCATTTCTGACTCAGACCCTGCTTTGCTGCGGGTAAGTCCCTTCCTTGAGCTTGGCGCCTCGGTTCCCTCACCTGATAGCACTTTGCTTACCTGCCTCAGAGGATCATTGGGAGGAAAGTGCTTTGGAAACCATCAAATGCTCTATTCATGCAAATGGCTCTCAGGATTCTTCTCAGTCTTGGCCCCCAGAGACTCCAGCCTCCCTTCTCCATGCAGGATTCAACCCCCTCACATAGTGGTCCTTCCTCCCCCTCTTTCAGGCACCTATGAACCACCTGATTTTTCTTTCCTTCGTCTGTGAGAAGCTGTTGCCAGAGGGTCACGGGAAGGAACCGTGGGGATCTTTCTGTCTGGCCCCTTTGGTTTCCTTAGACAAAGAAACAAGCTGAGAGGGAGTAACCTGGTCAGGGCCCGACGCGGATCTCCCTGTAGTATATCTTCCTCCCTCGCCACCATGCTACACTTGTACCCGAGTGAGAACTAGAATTCTTCCTCGGGGGTATTTTAATTTTTGGCCTTATCTCTCATGAAAGGATGAAAGGGTTACTATCCCTGTCATGACGATCTTTTTGGTGCCCCTGAAATCACATGCTTGTAAGCTCTCAGGATTTAAGGTCAGAAGAAGCCTTAGGCCATCTTTTCTAACTCCTTCATTTTACAAAGAGGAAACTGAGTCGCAGAGAGGAGGAGTGACTTATAGTTAATAAGTTGTGGGGCCAAAATTGGGTCTCAGGTCCTTTGACTCCAAGTTCAGGGTCCCAGCCCACGATCTCAGTCTGATGATGGGGCACTAGGTGCCAATGATGTTCATGAGACGTTGTCTTCCAATTTTGTGCTATGTTTTCATTCTTCCAGTGACCTTGTGCAGTTTGGGGTAGGCTGGGGAGGTAAGGGGAAAGGGGGATGATTGGTGACCCTGAAAACCAGGCCCAGTTCTATGGGCAAGGTCAGGATGCTTCTTCTCAGGCTGTCGGCCATCTCCAACCTTGGACAAAGCGGCCCCCATAGCATGTGTCTCTCCCCTTCTGTTCTCTAGCTGTAAAGGGAGCCTGGCAGAATGGGTTCTTTGACCAGAACAGCTTCAAGGAAATCATGGAACCCTGGGCCCAAACCGTAGTGACCGGCCGAGCCAGGTAACCCCCTCTGGACAGGACTCTACCCTTTTCACAACCTTCCCTCCCACCTGAAGGAATGACTCCAAGAGAAGGCCAGAAGTGGAGGGTAGGAGATGAGGACAGCCTTCACATGTTAGAAGGGATGTCCCATGCTGTACTCTGACCCAGAGAGGAAAAGGCATGAGTGAAGGAAAAAGCGTTGATTAATGATCTGCCATGTGCTAGGCACAGGGATACAGATACGGACAATTACACTGTCCCTGCCTTCAGGGAGCTTCTATTCTCATGGGGGAGACACCTATCAGCAGTGGTGGCTAGGGAAGGCAGGCTTGGTTTGGAGGTCCCAAGAATGGAGAGCTGAGCCACGGGCCTTTGTCTTTGTCTGGGAGCAGAGGCAGTATTGGTTTGGTGACTGTGCCAAAAGCAAGGGTGGGGAAGGATGGCAGAGGGGAAGGTGGCAGGGTCTCCAGAGTAGGCTGAGGCTGGCCAGGTGCAGGGCTTAGATGACTTTGTACCCCATTAGTTATTCACTAGTTAGGACTCCTCAGACCTAGAGTGGACAATGAGGCCCAACAGATAGACAGAAGTTACAGAAGTGAATTCCAACTCAACAGAAAGCTTCCTGATATTCCAGTCTGTCCAAGAGCAGAACAGTTTGCTCAGAAGGTAGTGATCTCCCCATCAGTGGAGGTGTTCAGAGCGAGGCTGCTTCTTGGAAATGCTGTAGAGGGCAACGGGAGCCTTGGAAGCTCTCTGGTTCTGTGAATTCTTTGGGGACTCTCAATCTTTGTTCCTGTCTGATTTTCCCTGGGCTCAGATTTTCCCATTAGAAAAAGTAAACTCTGGAATGACTCTCCCAATAGCTTTCTCATGGACCTTTCCTAGAAGCTTAGAATGTGACTCCTATGCCCTCCTCTGGTTCGCCCTACCACATTGTCCAGCCATCTTTTTCACCACATCCCAGGAAGATGGCGGCCACCATTCAGAGTCTCTGACCTCCCTTCGAGAACTCACAGGGGCAGGGAGCTCTTGTGTTGTGGGGCACGCTGAAGTGTCAGGAAGCCCTTCCTGAAGTGTGCCCCTTACCCAGTGCCCGCTCAGGCCCTCCACTCTCCTTCTTAGCCATTGTCCTGGTCACCCTCCTGTGGGTACACTCTTGTCAGTGGCCAGAAAGCATCTATTAAGCACCTACTGTTTGCCAGGCACCAGGCTAAGTGCTGGTGGTACAAAGAAAAGCAAAAGACAGTTCCTGCTCTCAAGGAGCTCCTAATCTAATGAGGAAGTCAGCGTGTACACAGACGTGTACAAACTGTTCGGACGAGCGATAGACAGGATCAGGTGGGAATAATGAAGAAGAGAAGGCATCAGAATCAAGAAGGACGGAAAAGGCTTCCCATAAGATTTGGGAGTTTAGTCAGGACTTACAGGAAGACAGAGAAGCCAGGAGGTGGAGATGGGGGGGGAGGGAACAGTCCTAGAGCATGCCCAGAGCCGAGAGAGGGAGCAGCCAGGAGGCAGGTGTCACTGGATCAGAGTACATGTTGGGGAGGAAGAACTAGTGTACCTACCCCCACCTCTCATCCCAAACTGGACCAAATAGGTGAACGGGTGTCCTTTTTCTCCCACCTGTGAACAACTTATTACTTAAAATTGTTGGTGTTTTCTCTTTAAATAAGGTAATTGGCTGGTCTTAAAATAGAATTTGATACAGCGGGCATTTATTGAATGCCTACTGTGTACAGAACACTATGCCAGGTACTACAGAAGAAAATTGTTTTAGGTAAGACCCAGCCCCTGCCTTCAGAGAGCTTACAGTCTCCTTGGCACATCCACTGTGTCACCCTGCAATGCCATCAGGCCTTGAGGTACTTAGTATGTAGATATAGAGCCTAGGCCTTCACTTGGGTTTTTGGGAGAGATCCCCAAATCTGAATCTCTGAGAAAGCCCCCCACTGTCCCCAGCAGGCTTATGTAGCCATATGTCTTGCAGGTTGGGAGGAATTCCTGTCGGGGTGATAGCTGTGGAGACACGGACTGTTGAGATGGTGGTCCCCGCTGATCCCGCTAACCTAGATTCTGAAGCCAAGGTGAGTGTGGGAGGAAGGAGGGAAAGCGCTGGAGGGGTCAGCTGACAGGAGGTAGGGGGGAGGAAGGGTCCAAGGGTAGTTTCAGTCTCTGACACTTTTACTTTAAAAAACCCAACCGGTGTTGGGAGATGAAGTTTCATTTAGAATGTAGAGACAAGTCCTGTGTGAGAAGACTGGAAAATGGCAGGGGCAGGGGGTGTTCAGTCTGTAAGGGGCTTGAGATGCCAAAAAGAAGAGTTTATATTTGATGTAATAAACTCCATTGGCTTCTTTTGAGTTGGGGGGTTGATATGGTCAAAAGATCATAGATTTAGGCCTCGAATGGACATTAAGAGCCTTCATTTTACAGATGAGAACAGCAAGGTGGGCAGTGCTTAAGTGATTTGTCCAATGGCATTCAGTTAATCAGTGTGAGGCAGGATTGTCCCATTGTCCCATTTATTCCACCATCCTATCTACGGTCAGACTTGTACTTCAGAAACATCCCTTTGGTGTCTAAGTAGAGGGTGGGCTAGAGGGGAGATTAGGAGACTTGTGCAGTAATCCAAGCAAGAGGCCATGAGGCCCCAAATTAGGGTTAGAGAGAAGACAATCCCTATGAGAGATGCTGTGGCGCCATCTTGGATCTGGGGGGTGAGAGGGAAGAGTTCAGACTGATTCCTAGGTTGTGAGCTTGGGGGACTGGGAGGATGGTGGTACCCTCAACAGTCATGGGGAAGGTAGGAGGGGGGAACTTTTTTGGGGGAAAGATGACGAGTTCAGTTTTGGACACGGTGAGCGTGAGTTTGTAATCTCCTGTAGGAATTAGTGATGTGAGACTCGAGCAGAGGAGAGACCAGATCTGGGAAACATCTGCATTGAAATGATCTTTGTACCTATGGCAGCTGGTGAGATCACTGAGTGAGCCAATGTAAGGAGAAAACCAGAGAGAACCCAGGACAGAGCCTTATTTTGGCCCAGGGGCTCATTTGTTAATTATTTCCCTCTGGCTGCTTTCGTCATATTGGCGTTAGGAGATGGCTTTCCTATCGAGCCCACGTGGGTGATTAGCCCTGTTCATCTGTTTATTATTGTCACCCAAGACTGAGGAAGCCTGGGCCTCCTTCACCACTTCCTGGCCTCCTGACCTCGAGGACTTGTAGACTATGCACAAGGTGCCTGGCTTCGCTTTGCTCGGTACTGGGGACTATGAGCAGGTTAGATAAGCCAGTCCCACATCACGTCTACATCCTCATGAGGCTCACGGTGGAGCAGAGGACACTAGGTGACTTCAGCCGGCAGGGAACATGATTTTTTGTTTGCTTTTTATTCTGACCTAATGTGACGCCCGAAGTTAGGAGCATTTCTGTATACAAACTAGAAGAGAAAGAGAGGGTTGTATGCAAAACTACAAGTGTTATAAAGCATGTGCTTTTCTTTTTAAGCATATAATAAATTCTGTGTGTTATTTTCAAAGCTGCCCCAGCCTGCTGGTCTGGGCTTCCTGTGATAACCTTCATTCTATTCTCTTCTGTTCATTTTTAAAAATGCTTCAATGACCCTCTTTTCTTACTTTCCCTTCTCATCTTGGTTACTCCTTCATTGAAAGGAAGAAAATAAACTTGTATTAGACGTAGTCAAATGAAACAAAATGACAAGGGGAAAATTAACTATGGAGGAGAATAGAACTGTGCTGCTTCTGATGCTGCTGCTGATGGTGATGATGGTGATATTGATGATGGTGGTGATATTGATGACAATGATAATGGGTTGGTGATGATGGTATTGATGGTGATGGTGTTGGTGGTGGTGATGATGATGTTGGTGATATTGATGACGATATTGATGACAATGATGGTGTTAGTG